GTGTTATGTTAGTCTACTAATTAGCCTTATGTTTACTAATCTTTAGGCCCAATGCCTAAATTTGTTCTAATTTTGGTCCATCTCAAGGCCATTTTGGTCTTGAGACACCATTTATCTTCTAAACTACATCCTCTACCTTAATTTTGACATGTAACATCTTCAAAGGGGTACATCTGCTTTGTAACACTGATTCTTGATTGTTTCTAATAATAATTTTAATAACAGTTACAATTTAGTTAGCACAAAACAATTCCATTTATTACAACTGCAAATATCCCTTATGTCCCTTTTTATTGGTTTCCATGCTAACGGCCTTGCTTTCTTCCTTGCTATGGATAAACTTGTATTTTCTCAATTTCTTCTTTTGCTAACACAATTCTTTGGCCTACAGATCAGCTGCTAAGCCTATACAAATTCACGTCCTAGTCTTCAGAGGGAAACTTTGAGCACAGTGAGAATTTCCCAGTGTGCAAGAGGGTCCCTGTGTGCCAGCTGCAGTGGGGCCTCAGCCATATCCTCTCTCAACAGGTTCCCCTCTGCAGCTTCACAAGAAAGGCCAAACACCTCCCTCAGGGACACCTGCACCACACATTTCACATCTCCATGCCCATATGTGATGTCGCTGTCACAGCTGCATTACCAGCTTGCTGCTGTCCCCTGAAGGGACCTGCCCTGCTCTGTGGCCTGGACTGAAAGTGGGTCCCTCCTGCCAGGGAAGAGCCCAGCACAGCTCTTCTGTTCCAATAAAGAGATGGAGCTCTCACCCCAATGTCCGTCTAGTACCACCAGCAAAGCCCACACGGCACCAGCCCTGGCTGAGCTCCATGTCCAGGAGCAGGCAGGGCTGACCACGGTGTGGGCAGACAGGAGCCAGGCAGGGGCTGCTGTGACCAGTGACGGGGCCCTGAGGGGCTGGGGGAGTCCGTGTTGAGCGTCCCTGGGATGAGGGCACATTTCCTTCAGTGGCATCACCTGGGCCTGGACCTCCTCCAGCGCCATGCCCAGGAAAAGAGGCAACCATCAAGAGCATCTCCTGAGGCACTGCCTGACCAGCAATGTCAGCAGGCAAAATCAAGATTTTGTTTAGCAATGACCCTTTGATGAACTCAAAGATTTACAGTCAGGGCAGTCCTCTAGTACAGATGGGAGCACACTTGGGGCAGACACCTAAGGCCATGAGGTCACAGAAGGCTCTGGGGTGACAGCAGGCTGAGATGACAGCAGGCTCTGAGGTCACAGAGGTCCCAGAGCCCTGTGGTTGCACAGCACCACAAGCACCGAGCAGTCAGTCCTTGACCACGACTGTTGTGGCAGCAGCGGCGGCGGCAGCAGCGGTGCTGACATTGGGACAGCGGTGTCAGGACAGTGGTGGCAGCAAGAGCTGCAGGACTGGCAGTGGGCAAGGCACCATGGCCTTTGCTCTGCGCCTCCTCCTCCTGCTCCTCCTGGCAGTGGCCCTGCATGACAGGGCTGCCCAGGCTGCTCCACAGCGAGCACGTCGAGCAGGTGAGCCCACGGCCTCAGTCCCCATTCCCAGGACAGTGCTCCCTTCTCCCTGGGAAGTATTGGGGATGGTTTTCCCCAGGGCTTTAGGGAGGGTTTCCTCTGTGGGAGGGACAGAGGCCTCAGGGGCCCTGGGCTGGTCCTGCCGTGCCTCCAGAGATGTTGCACTGGGCCTGCAAAGAGGGTGGAGAGTGACCAGAGCCAGCCCAGAGCTATCCAGGCCACTCTGCAGCTTTGGCCATGTCCATTGACATCTGGCTCCCACAGCCTTACCTGACCCCCTTGCAGTGCCCAGTTCCCTAAGGCAGAAGGGGGTCCCAGCACACCATGGAATGGTTCTGATCTGTGCTTCCTTCCAGATGAGTGTGGTAGGAAGGCTTCTCCAGGAGCTTGGCTTCATGAAGATTTTAAGCCTCTGGAGCCCCATGCAGGTATGTTCTCATAGTCCCAACAAGGAATAATCATTGACAACCTGTCATGAACCAGGTGACAGAAGATTCTGTGGCTGTTGAGTTACAGGTGTGTCTGCAGGGAGGATGTTTCAAGCTCCTTTGCTGGTTGCTGCAGGCAAGCCCAGCTCCCATCACAGGGGTGAGTGGTGTGTCCCTGCCGCATCCACAGGCTGAGCACTGGTTTTCTGGGATCCATTCCTGGGAAATGGAAATACTTTCTGTTAAGGTTCTCCTAGAGGGAGGAACAAACCCACAGGAGACAAGATGATGAGTGAACTGGATAGACGCCATGGTGGGTCCATGTCCCTCAGCCTTCTCCTGAGACTCAGCAGCCGGGGGATTTCTCTGCACATCTGGACATGCCATGGCTGGCACAGCAGAAAGGGATCCATGGCAGCCTCACTGCCCTGCTGCTGCTTTCATGCCCTTCAAGGCTGTTTCTCAGCTTGGCCTGGCTGTAGCTTCTCCCCAGCCTCTGCAGGAAGGCTTTTGACATCAGCTGACAGGGAGCCCAAACTGCAGCACAGGCCATGTACACCCTGAAATCCCCTGCAATTTCCCAGTCTTGGGGTAGATGTGGAATGGCAGCTCCTTTGAGGAGGGTAGGCCCTGGCCTGGCTCCAAAGTTTTGATGCCTTCCTGAACCTTATTCATGACTTTGACAAGTATTGCCTTTTGAAGATGCCACCTTCATGTTGGGGAACAAACAGCCCCACCTGATGCATGTATCCGTCTTCCTTTCTGCAGAGACGGAAGGAGAGGCTGTGCTGAAGGCAGAGTTTCCTGGAGGAAGCAGTGGCTCATGGGCAGCCTCTGCTGCAGGAAGGGAGGCTGTGCCAGGCACAGCCCCAGGAGGTAATTGCTGTGCCTCTGGGCCTGAGCCCTGCTGAGGCTTGAGCTGCCATCTCTGCTGCTTGGCAGTGTGGACATAGCCTGGACAAGACCGGCACAGCCCAGAGGAATTATCCCCAGCCGGCTCAGGGCACTCACCTATTGAGCAATCCTGCTAAGGTCCCTCCATGGGAGACAGGTCCCAAAATCTGGCAGCAGCTGCAAAGGAGTGCCCATGGTGGGGAATAGGCAGAGTGGGAGGGCAAGGCTCCACTGTATCCTGAAAGAGCCTGGCTCTGTCCCTATGGGATGGGAGAGCTGTCCCAGCAGAACGTGGGCAGGAGGGAGGGAGGGCCTGAGGGACAGTTGTGGCACTGCCTGCTGTAGTTCTTCCCCATTGCTTTTACAATTCTTTCAGCTGTGGCAGAGAGAGGGCCCCAGTGAGGCCTGGGCTGCTCCAGCCACCTCTCCCAGGAATGCTGCACAGGGCCTGCAGAGAGGGTGGAGAGTGACCAGGAGCCAGCCCAGAGCCCCCAGGCCCCTCTGCAGCTGTGCCCATGTCCACTGACATCTGGCACCCACAGCCTTAGCGCGACTCCCTTGCACTGCCCATTCCCTAAGGTAGAAGG